ATATATATATCTATATATATATATATATATATATATATATATATATATATATATATATATCTTTTTTTTCACAATAAAAAAATAAATATATATATATATATATATATATATATATATATATATATATATATATATATATATATATATATATATATATATATACATATATAATCTAAAGCTTTTTTTATATATTTTTATATTTATATTTATATTTATATATATATATATATATATATATATATATATATATTTATATAAAGACAGATCCACATGCAATGTGTATTTATTTATTTATCAAGTCTCTTGACACTTTATTAATTGGTTTTCTTACTGTGCAAACCATGGTAATAGGGTAGATCATGTATGATTGTACATTCCTAAAAAAATATCCTGATTTATTCATTAATTTATTTTCCTTTGGCTTAGTGCCTTTATTAATCAGGGGTTTGCCACAACGGAAAGAACTACCAACTTATCCAGTATATGTTGGATAAGTTCCAGCTGCAACCCAGTACTGGGAAATACACTCTCACATGCACACACATACACTACGGCAATTTATTGTATTCAACTCACCTATACTGCATGTTTTTTTACTGTGGGGGAACTGGAGCACCCGGAAGAAAACCCACATCCACATGAGGAGAACATGCAAACTCCACAGAAACGCCAACTGGCCCAGCCAGGACACTAAGCCACCGTGTTGCCTATCCTGATTTATTTTCATTCATTCATTTTCTTTTCGGCTTGGTCCCTTTATTAATCTGGGGTGGCCACAGCAGTATGAACCACCAACTTATCCAGTATATGTTTTACGCAGCAGAAGCCCATCCTGCTGCAACACATCACTGGGAAACATCCATACACTCTCGTTTACACTCTTACACTACGGGAAATTTAGCTTACCCAATTCACCTGTACAGCATGTCTTTGGACTTATTGGGGAAACCGGAGTACCCGGATGAAACCCATATCAACACGGGGAGAGCATGCAAACTCCATACAGAAACGCCAGCTGATCCAGTCGGGACTCGATCCAGCGACCTTCTTGCAACAGCGATAACCACTGAGCCACTGTGTCGCCTATACTGATTTATTTTATTAAATTAAATAAAGGTTAAATAAAAAAATATATATAAATGTGGTAAAAAATAAGATGAAATACTGCAATTATTCATGATTGAAATTCAGTATAATAATAAAACAATACATAAATAAAATGTAATGAAATAAAAATGTCAAATATGACAAAAAATACCAACATAA